ATTTTACTACCCAGTCTGTGGCCTGCATTTTATACTTAGTCCATGTTTTATACTGACCCGACTTTGGCTGTTAATCCTATTGCAGTTTCAAAAAATTTCAAGCATCTATGGAAAAGTCAACTTTCCGTGTAATTTGAAAGTTGCAAAGTTGAAAGTTACACCGAATACAATGGAGTCCTTTTTGCTTATTGTAACAACAAGCTCAAACAGTTACATACTTGTCTTTATCCATTAACAGAGGCTTGTTTTCTGTATCTTATTCCATCTGTGGATAAAATGAAATATTAGGAGCAATAATAATTGTATCAATTCCAGCAACCTTGCTTTCACTCACTGCCTGCGTAACAGGCACAAATAATAAAAGTAAAAGCATAGAGTGTTAGTATTACAGGCCAAATGTAGCAATATTCAACTAATCCAATTTTCTATTCAATTTTGTACTTTCTATTCAACTATGAGTTTGATATTCAACTTTTATTCAACTTCCAATGTGTTGTTTTATATTCAACTCATTACTTGATATTCAACCATGTATTTAACATCCAACTGTTTATTTAACATTCAGCTTTTCATTCAACATTCAAATATTCATTCAACATTCAACTATTCATTCAACAATCAAATTTTCATTCAATCAATTATGCTTAAGCTCTCAATACATCTAGCCAGTTAAGCGCAATATTGCCCATTACAAACATGGCTGCAGCTGCTGCGTCCATTGCAATGCAAACAGCCCATGAGGACGATGACACAATTCTTGACTTCAATGTGGAATTTGACCTGCCAAGGTTTCTTTCCTCTGTCCTTGATAAAACTGACCAGGTTTCTCGCACGAAAGGGGATCATGAAATTTTGGAGCAGGGTATTGTCATGGTCAATCAAACGGTTCGTTTGCTTCATACCCTCCAAGGTAGCAGCTCAAATATCAGTGCAGATGACGAAGAATATTTAAATACCGTATTTATTTGCCTATAAGCCGAGCGATTTTTCCAACAAATTAAACTGAGAACAGGTAAATTCTCGCCAAGGTAGGGGATTCGGCTTATAGCCGAGTATTTTCGCCAAAAAAAATTTACTGGTGCTTAACAAGATTCGAAATTCAATGTTTATTCGACTATAAGCCGAGCGATTATCAACAAACACAAATTTCCGAGATCACGAAAGGTAGGTACATGTAAATCATTGTTGGTCATTGACTTTAATTTATGAGGTGGCTCCTAAAGGAGCCGTTTTGTTTGTGAAGTTGAAGTTTGTGACATTGAAGTTTTTAGTCATTGTCGTCTTCTTTGCTGTCAGTCTCAAACTCATCCTCCATGTCATCATCAGCTACCTCAGGCATTTCGTCGTCGTAGATGGCGTTGTCTTCTGTTCCATTGAGAGCGTTTGAGATCCCGCACGTTTTGAACGATCTTCTCACCATCTCTTCCGGAATCTCTTCCCATGACTGCTTCACCCAACGAAGGACCAGGTTTTTCGACGGGGCCTTCTTCTTTCCCGCTGGCGTGTACTCGAAGGGACCTGTCATCATCCAGTTAAGATACTTTCGCCGCATGTTGTCCTTGAATGGTTTGTTGAGGCATTTGTCTAATGGCTGCAGGACTGGAGTCAGGCCGCCTGGAATAACAGCTACGTCGATCTTGCGCCGTTGTAGGTCTGCTTTCACCGACTCTGTCAGATGGGCTTGGAAAGAATCCCAGACAAGCAATGACCGTTCATTGCGAGGATTCCGTGGCAAACAGGTACGAATCCACTCCTTCACTCCTGAAATAAATAACAGAATACCCAATTAGAATAAATTGACAGAATGCGAAGATCAGTCGTTTGAGCATAACATCAATTACCAGTGAGCTATGAGAAATGTAACAAATTCCTACCTTTTTCATCCATCCAGCTCTTCTTGTGCGAACACCTTTGAAGATCACGGAAGGTGGAAGTTTTTTGCCATTGGCGGCGACTGCGAGTGTGACTGTAAAGCTCCTCTTCTCAGCGCCGCAAGACTTCACTGGAACTGTTCTGCTGCCACTGAATTCAAGGGTTCTGCTCGACGGAAGCTCGAATCGCATAGGAGTTTCATCCATATTGAACAGCCTGGAGAGCGAATGGCCATACTGCTGCCGAAGTGCGATCACGAATCGATGGAACTGGATGGTCTTTTCTTCCAGATCTTGTGGGAGTCGCTGGGCCAGGGTTGTCTTAGTGCAAAGGCTGATGGAATGGCGCTTTTTCCATCTCTGGTACCAACCCAGTGAGGCTTTGAAGTCTGGATCACTGCTCAACTCCTTCGCTTTTAGCCGTAGAATTGATCCGCTTACAGCAATTCCTGTAAAAGATAAAAGAGATCAATTGTTTGACTTGTTTTGACAACATGAAAAACTGGCCAATCAGAAGCGGTCATTCCCACGGTTTGTGTAAACATTGCAACACGATCTGACAGATATCAGCTGATTGAAGCTTTTCATTGTTTTAAAGAAATGAAAGACTTACCTTGACTCCTCTCCTCTGAAAACCAGTCCAGTAGTGTTTTATCCAATTCAGGATACTTTGGCAAAAAGCAGCCCATCGTCTTTCGCTTTGCTGACATTTTAAGCTCACCATTAAACAGGTTCACTTGATCTTTTTGCCAGCAATGCACCATCGATTCACTGATTCCGTAATCTCTAGCTATCTCGGAGTTGTTCTTGACGGCCTCTGCTTCAGCAACGACTTTTAGTTTGAACGCTAAGTGGTATGAAGAACGACGAACTTTCAGCATGATGATCGATTACGATAACTTTGAAAGAGAGCGATTGTTTGAGACAGGATTCTGAACTCAGTTGAATGTTTTGTTATGTCAAGCATGGTTCTATTTATTTACATTAAATTCAACTTATCTGTGATTTGTTGTTACTTTCAATTAAACGACCAATAACAACTGAGTAAATTGGACTTAATGAATATGTTTATTCATAACCTACTTTTTGGTTGCATGTTTCCCAAGAGGGAAGCTCCTTTTGTTTTTGGTTTATGTTAATTCATCTCAGTTAACGACACGCATGGAGTACTTTGCAATTATTAGGTCTCGGCTTATAGCCGAATGTTTTGTGTTTATTTTTTATTTCAATGCAACAGCTGCTGACATGAAAAAGTTTAGGGTCTCGGCTTACAGGCGAATAAATACGGTAATCCCTTATCAGCTTTCTATGAGATCTCATCTGCTCTGCGGCAATGTTTAGTCTTAGCATCTTTATCTCCGTCTATAGTTGAAACAATGTTTGTCCCATGGTAAAAAGTGATGGGGTCGGTAAGCCACCTTTTGATATTTCTGCAGAGTTGCTCAAAAACTTCCTTAGTTTGGGATTTAGCTACACTAGAATTTCGGAAATGTTGGGAGTGTCTCATTGGACTGTATCAAGGAGAATAAAAGACTGGCTCAGGAGACCTTAAATCATTCAGTAAACTGTCTGACAATGAGTTTGCCAAAGTTGTATGAGGTTATATACGTGAACATGGACAAGTGGAAAAGTGTGTCTTACTGGATATTTAAGATCCTTAGGATTGTGAGTAAAAAGAAGAAGGGTAAGGGAATGTTTAGCTCGCCTGGACCCACAGAATAGAGCCTTGGGATGGGGAATTGTTGTTTCAAGAAGGGTCTACCGGGTACCATGGCCCAACTCTCTGTGGCATTTAGATCGCCATCACTCATTAATACACTACAAGCTCATCATTAATGGCGGAGTCGAGGAGAAGGGATGGCAAGTTTCATCGCTGGTTCCTCAACTCACAATCAAGGGATTGAACGTCTTTGGAGAGAGGTGTACTGATGCGTTTGTCACCTTTTTTACTATACTTTTTATGCTGTGGAATCATCAGGGCTTCTCAATGTGGAGGATCTGATTCAGCTCTTTGTATTGCATACCATTCTCATCCCAATCCTAAACTTCATAACCTGCCTCTCACTTGGTTTGCAATTACTAGTGCCTTTCAACTTTTCTATGGGAGGCCATATCAGTCAAAAGTGGTATGAGTTCACGACTGATGATCAAGAAATCGATCGCTATGGTTGAGTATATCGATTGGTGATTGAAAATGTCAATTGCTGTAATTGAGATTATCAATTGTGTAGGATTGTATACTAGGATTGTTGTACGTCTTACTCGGAGCATGTGGTGATTAGACTGATACTTTATTCAATGCAATCACATGTATTAGATTACACTTCTGGTGACGTAAGTCATGAACACTACATCACTCTCTTGTCTATTTTTGTTCTGCTGAAAACATTAAGTATTGATCTGAAAATCACTGTTCATGAAAAACAAAACTAAATCATTGCGAAAAGGGTTCTTCAGTCAATGTTCAGTTCACAGAGAAACACAAGTTGAGTTCTAGGTTGGATTGGTGTCCATCTTATCTAAACATTGGTCCTGAAAACAGCAAGGGGGCCTTCTCACTCTGGTAGGGTATGACCTGGACGCGGCTGCATTCTCGTGAGATGTTGGAACACCCTCAACTGATGTGTCCTGCTCAGGGAGGAGTTTAAAGTGGCTGCTGTTTCTTGTAACGGTTTTGTCGTGATCTGCAGCAGTTAACATGGACCCTTTCTTGTCCACTATGATTAGAGGGTGTGGATCAAAAGGTGGAGTCAATTTTCCTTTGGCATCGTTGGCAACCAACACTGTGTCACCAAGCTTAATGGGCGATGTTGCAGCATTCCTTGTGGCGTCGGCATACAATTTCATTTTGGACTTAGCCTGGGAGTCAGTTTTCTGCATTGCTTCATGGTCAAAGGGTGTGGCTGAATCATCGGAATCAGGAATTTCTGGTAAACGTGTGCGGAGTGGCCTACCAAAGAGAGCAGTGGCTGGTGGAACACTAGTTGTAGAGTGTGGTGTGGCGCGGTAGTTTCGAAGGAAGCTATACAGCTCTTGTTTCCACACCGTTGCTGTGCGAAGGGCTTTCTTGAGAGTGCACATGAACTGCTTGGCTTCTCCATTGCCCTCAGGCCAGCGAGGAGTAATTTTTCAATGGTGAAAACCAAGATGGGTTGCAAATTGTTTAAACTCAGCGCTGTTGAAGGGTGGACCGTTGTCTGAACAGAGGACTTTAGGTATCCCGAAGGTAGAGAAGATGTGATCCAGGTGAGGAATGACAGCCTTGGCTGAAGTGGAATGCAGAAGCTGTACTTCTGGATACCTTGAATAATTGTCGATTACGACAAGCAAATAGCTGCCTCCCACTTCGCAGAAATCAACACTGACTTCCTGCCATGGTGCATTGGGAAGCTTAGACATTTGGAGTGGTTCTCGTGGATGGTGCTGGACCGCCGATTGACAAGGAATGCAGCTTTTGACGAGATGTTCAGTGAGTTCATAGGTTTTCGGGAACCAGACCTTTTCATGGAGGAGCGCTTTAGTTTTGACCAGACCTTGGTGGCCTTCATGAGCCAGGTTGACAACGTGTGCACGAAGGCATGAGGGAATGACTATTCTAAGACCGCGAAGGATGATGTCATCATCGGTTGCCATGCTTGCGTTCGAATGAGTTGTGCAGCAGCCTGTAGGGTGCTGTCAGCTTTCATTGCTTCTTTGAGTTTGTCTAAAGTGAGGGCTTTGGGGACTGCATGCGTAGCTACAAAGTTAACGTAGCATTCCGCTGAGGAAGACGCCACATGATCAGTCTGCAGGATTGTTCTCTCCTGGGCGATAGACGATGGTGTAGTCATAGTTCTGGAGTTTGAATATCCAGGTAGTGATTCTAACTGGTGGGTTTGATCCAGGCTTGTTGAAGATGGAGACAAGGGGTTTTTGATCTGTGAGTACAGTGAAATGGGCGCAAAGGAGGTAGAGACGGAAGTGATTGCAGCCCCAAGCAACGGCGAGAGCTTCTCGTTCTGTTTGGGAATAACGTTGCTCCACGGCGGTTAGAGATTTGCTAGCATAGGCTACTACACGGTGGTTTTGTGTAAGGAGAGCACCCAGGCCTACAGGGCTTGCGTCAACTAGAAGATGCGTGTCTTGTGTTGTGTTGTAATAGGCTGTGATGACATCCATGCAAAGAGCATGCTTTAAGGCAGCAAGTGACTGTTCTTCTTCCTGTCCCTAGTGCCAGGGTTCACCTTGATGAGTCAGCTTGCGAAGTGGGGTAACAACGGTGGCGAAGTTTGGGATGTATCGAGAACAGTAGTTGGCGAGGCCAAGAAGGCTGGCGACCTCTTTCCGGTCTTTTGGCGCAACTGCATTCTGGATGGCGCTCACTTTCTTGGGGTCAGGTGCGACTCCATCTTTAGAGAAGATGTGGCCAAAAAATTCAACAGAACTCTTGTTGAATTTGCACTTTTCTTTGTTAAGAGTGACGTGTTTGTCACTCAAAGCTTGAAAAACTCTCGTGAGGCTTTCATTGTGTTGCTCTGTAGTCACGCCATGGACGAGAATGTCATCAGATATGTTCAATGTACCTGGAATGTCGTGAAGGATTTCTCCGATAGCATTTTGAAATATTTCAGCGGCGGAACAGACGCCAAAACTTAGCCTCTTGTAGTACCTAAGACCAACATGAATGGAGAAGGTTGTGATGTATCTTGATTCAGGAGCGAGTTCAATCTGGTGATAACCATGGTTGAGATCAAGCTTTGAGAAGGCGGTGGACCTGTGAAGTTGTGCAACGATGTCATCGACTGTAGGTGTGATGTGATGTTCTCGTCGAATTGCTGTATTAGGTGCTCTCATATCCATGCAGATTCTTATCTTTTCTGGATTTTTTGGTTTGGGGACAACAACGATAGGCGAAACCCAAGGAGTGGGGCCATCCACCTCTTCAATGATGTCAAGATCTTGTTGGCGCTGCAATTCATCTTCAACTTTCTTGCGTTGACGAAAAGGGATGCGTCGATGTGGTTGAGCAACAGGGGAAATAGACTTATCAATGTATAACTTGACAGCATGATCTTTGATTTTGCTGATGCCATGAAACAGATGATCGTATTTGTGTACAAGCTCGGCAGCAGTGGAAGGAGATGTTGCGATGGTGTTTGTGATGTGTATGAGTCCAAGCTCTCGAGCTGTGTGATAGCTGAGAATTGACCCAGTGTTACCGTGCACCACGTGAAAATCAGCGCAAGCGATCTTGGATGTTGATTCGACTTCCGTTGTAAACATGCCAAGGGTATTAAGCAGCTCCTTTATGCCATATGCCTTTATTATTGTGATATCCCGTTTCAATGGTGGAGGTTTCTTGAGCGCTTTGAAGTCTTGCTCATCCAAGAGGTTTACGCTGGCACCCGAGTCGATGAGCGCGGTGATTGCAGTTCCATGGACAATGACGCTCGCGGAGGGTAGCTCCTTCTACACAGAGTGAACAAGATGGCCTTTGTGAAGGGCGAAGACATAGCTGTCGTTGGAATCATCAGACAGATCGTGTTGCATGGCCGATGGAGAACAATGGTCACAGTGAGGCGTTGTATAAACATGTTGCACAAGCTGCTGTTGTGGTTTTGACCTGCAAACACGAGAAAAGTGATTCAGCTTGCCACAGTTGCCACACTTCTTGCTTTTGGCAGGGCAGTGAGAAGTGTGGGGATATTTATCACCACAGAAATAACACGTCTTGCCAGTTTGCGTGGGTGTCCAATGACCATTTCTTGGATTGTTGCTGTGTTCATGCATCTGTTTTGCGTGTATACGGTTCACCGACAATGCTTCGAGCGGCTGCTCGATGTCTGCGGCATGTTTGTTGGCCAGTTCCATGGCTCTGCCTGAGCTCAGGAGATTCGAGAGCAACCATTCAGGGTGTTGTAGGGCACTACGGCGAAGTTTATGAGAAGTGCACGCTTGGATGATTTGGGTCTTGACTTCTTTGCCGTTGTCTGTGAAGCTACACGGCATCGCCAGCTGTTGTAGCCTTGTATGGAACGTGTCAAGGGTTTCATTCGGCTGCTGTTTGGCTTGACGAAAACAGTAAATCGAGAATTCCGAATTGGCCGTAGGAGCGAAATGTGCGTTTAGAGCATCAATAGCTGCCTGATAATTGTTTTCCTCCCCAGTGTCTGGCAGAGTTTCAAAGATGTCGTTAATCTCCTCACAAGTATAGTGAAGAAGCATCAGCAATTTCCAAGCTTCCCAATGCACCATGACAGAAGATCGTCTTTGATGTTGAGCCCAATCATCATGTTTTCAAACCGCCGAAGCTTTTTTTTCCAGCGGACAACGGTGGAGGAGGCATCGCTGTGGACATCGAATGGTGGGAATGTTGGCAGGGATACTGCCATGTTGAAACCAGAATGTTTGCCAGTAGTGAGAAGGTGCAGCGGTGAATTAAATGCCGTGAATTGGTTCCGTAAAATCCTCGAATCCTTGTCACCAATGTATACTAGCATTGTTGTACATGTAGAATTGTATACTAGGATTGTTGTACGTCTTACTCGGAGCATGTGGTGATAAGACTGATACTTTATTCAATGCAATCACATGTATTAGATTATGCTTCCAGTGACGTAAGTCATGATCACTACAACTTGGTGATTGAGATTGTCAATCGCTGTGGTTGAGATTATCAGGTGCAGATTAAGAGTGATGGTTGCTATGGTCTAGAAAGCGATTGAATACCAAGACTGATGATTGCTATGGTTGAAAAAAAGATTGGTGTCTGAAAACGATCATCCAGAGATTGACGATCCAGAACACCTACCACTATGATCGATGAATCGAATTGCAGCTGAGAAATGGAAAGGTCTGGTAATGAGAGAGGTATAGTTCACGTATTTTAACATGTAGAAGTATTCCAAGAACTTACTTTGTGATCTAAGATGGCGGCTGATGATCGAAGTAGTCAATATACAGGATAACCAAAGAACAAATCGAGATTCCTTCTACTAGTACACTCACAAGCTACATGTCCAGAGCTACCACAAGTGAAACAATCGTCATATCCCCCTCCTCCACACTCTTCACAACTGTGACAATCCCAACTTGGGTTCTTTGGCTGGTATCCACCTCCATGGCCTCTGTAGGGGGGTCGGCCCCAGTTTGGTTTTGCCACCTGATCGCATTGGGCATTGACTCTACCTTTGAGGTCATGAATTTCTGATTTCATCTGCCGGATTTCAGAAAGAATCTGTTGGCTCCTGTCTGAACTTGGATTCCTGGCTCTCTGTTCTCCTCCCTCCTTGAGGACTTCACAAACATTCACTTTTGACCTTTTTTGGTGTTCAGTTGCCAATTTTGTGGTTCACTCATCTTGCTGTGAAGCTGATTTATTAACTTGTTTCATAATTTCCTCAGGGTACAAGGGGTTGTTCTTAAGTTGCTAACATATCATCATGAAGACCAGTTTTGAAGGAATTTGCAAATGTTCTCAGAATTGGTGAAAGGTCATAAACTCACAATCCAATTCTTGACTGGCCAAATTTACCTTGTTACGCAGGTCCAAAGTAAGAATTAGGAATTGCTGTGCTTTGTTGGCATATGGTTGCAAGCTGTTGGTACACCTCAGATGTAGCTTATTCCCAGTAGTAGGCATGGAGAATTCTCCATAATTTTGCAAGGGAGAGGTCACTTAAGGTCACTTAATTTCACTTTCTCTTTAACCGCGTTTAAGACCAGAGTCTATCTGATGTATTAAAGACACATAAGTCGATTTTTCCGTTTGCCAATCTGCCCTGAAAGTTTATATTCTCGGTGCAGAGAATGTTTTCACCATTTGAACCAAAATATACTCCGCTCCTTGTTCGACTTTTTCTTTTTTTAATTTTCCCTGGGTGTCCATTTGTTTGCTCTCTACTCCAACAGCTGTTTTTGGCCCTGTCTCTTCAGTTTGTTTGAGAAGAGGTAAAGCTCCTTCTACTTATGTGAGTATTTGTTAAAGACATGTGGGTGCCTGATAATTTACCTTCTGCATTTTAGATTTCCCTGTTACATCGTCCTCAATTCCTAATAATTCTATCATTTTGACTAGACTGCCCTCATCTTGATCAAACAGTTGTGCTTCCACTTGAAGTTGTAATTGCTCCATAGTATCAAAACACACC